GCAAAACCAAATAAAACCTGAACAAATTAAATCCTCCCTCTTTCCCCTGGGCACAGGAGGTGAGGGGGACAAAGAGGGAACCGAGAACAAATGAACCTAGGAACTATTATCATCTAATTAAGCATAGGTAGAAATTAGATTTTACAAAACGTCAAACCAAAAGAAAATAATCTCCCTAAAAAGCAAGACAGAACTTATTTCCATCATCCATTGTCCATTCAGCCATTTTTGACAGGAACAAATTCCTAACTTTGGAGCTGTGGGAGAACATACCCCCTTCTTGCTTACACAATGGTCTAAAACTCTGGCAACAGAAGTTGTTATAAAAGCTTCCTACACTTTGCATGAGCTTTTATTTTCTTTTCCTGCAGTGTTTGCTACATCTGGAGTGTATGAAGACCTTTTAGATCCTCTGATGCTATAGTCTACTGCTCAATGGATCAGGAAAGGGACCAATATACCTGAACTATGCGGCTGGCAGTCAAAATAATTCATTTGCAACCAGTGGCCTTAAAATTTGTCTTTAGAAAGCAAGCAGGGCTTTTGTGGCTAAAAATAATTCAATTTTCTATAAATCCCTTAAACCTCTATGTGTCTAGGTGCTTCCTCTGCTCACTGTGAGAGGAAACAAACCTAATTTCACATTTCTTACCACTTTACTGCTACTCCACCCATTGACGATTTTTCCTTTCATCGGCTGCACTGGGCGACTCCGTGCTGGTGAAAGGATGCATTTATGGATGGTTTACATCCTGCTCATCTCTACGGTGTTCACACAACGTCACCTCCTGACTATACCTCTCTCAAAGACAGCACTTTCACTGGAGAGGAGCACAGCACAAGATCTTATGAGGAGCGGCTGAGGGAGCTGGGGTTGTTCAGCCTGGAGAAGAGGAGGCTGAGGGGAGACCTTACGGCTCTCTACAACTACCTGAAAGGAGGCTGTAGAGAGGTGGGGGTCAGTCTCTTCTCTCAAATAAAAAGCAACAGGACTAGAGGAAATGGCCTCAAGTTGCACCAGCGGAGGTTTAGATTGGATATTAGGAAAAAATTCTACACCAAAAGGGTTATCGAGCATTGGAACAGGCTGCCCAGGGAAGTGGTGGAATCATCATCTCTGGAGGTATTTGAAAGAGAGGTAGACATGGTGCTGAGGGACACGGTTTAGTGATGGGTTCTGTCAGTGTTAGGCTGATGAATCTTTCAGATTCAACCATCTGAAAGGTCCCTTCCAACCTAGACAATTCTATGATTCTATAATTCTAAGGTGGACAAAGGAGAGACTTCAGCACCATTTCTTCTCTCATTGTACGCTGTTAAAACAATGCTTAAAAGTTCTGATTTGCAGCACAACCTCTCCCAACACTACTCTAGCACCATCCATGACTTTCCAATGAACAGTATATACTCTGAGAAGCTTACTGACTCTGTCCTGAAGGCTGTGTGGACAAAAATTAAAAACCAAAATCACATGAAAATTGCTGAACAGATCCTCCAGAGAATTGTGGGTGAACAAGAGCTGAGAATATGTGAACTGGAAAATTAGTTCTCACAGGACTGAGTTTTCTTGACATTTTTAAGCTTATAACTCTTCTATGCAATAACAGATGCGCAGACTACATGCAATTTCTTGTACTCAAACTCTCTGTGTACAAACAATTGGAATACATACAGACTCAAAGGGCTGTCTTCAGTTTATTTAGTAACATAAGCAATTTTGCAAAACTGCATAAGCTGACATTTCCTTTGCAAATTGCTTAAAAAAGGAGTTATGCAGAAAAGCCAGGAAGTACAAACAGAACTTGGGGAAATGCAGGAAGCATGGAAATTACTAAGGGGAACACAAATTTCAGACAAACAAACAAATGAGCAGAAGGAAGCTATAAATGTCTGTACCAGTGAAGGGAGACACTTTTCAGGTAAATCAAGTCCCAAATGACTGTGACTGGGGATGTGTGGAAGAATTACACTTAATTTTTCAAGGCTTTTTACTGGAAAATTTCTTAGAATCTATTATACGCGCTGTTCCATTTGTAATTATTACACTTACTTCTACCACTAATAATGTGCATAAATCTATTGTTTGCCACGTTCATAAAGCACTTAATAAACCTCATCTGAAGGAAGGAAATAGCACTGCTTGGAAATTCACTAACTTGGAGAGAGAGGGAAAAAGAAGCTATTCTTAGCATATATACACATCACTCCTAATCCTCTGACTTATCAGCAGTGGTTCAACCAGAGGTGATGTGAGAGTAAATGCATATGGCACCTGCCTGGAAAGGTATTTGAATAAACACAGATGTGCCCTGACAGCTACTTGAAACATAAATACTTTCCAAGCTGAAATCCCAGTGGAGGCCGATCTGTCAATAGCCAACATTACTGTACATCTAGGGAGGCATTCACCCACCACTGAAATGGTCATATTTGGAATAGACTACATTAAGCACTCTGCACTGGTGATTCTGTGCAACAGGGTCTCAGACAAGGAGTGAAGAATGTTTACAGACTGCAATGAAAATGGATGTTAATTTTCATTTAAACATAACAGCCTTAGATGCAATATGGTCAGAATGCTGTGAATGTCAGTGGACAAGACACTGGTTTTACATCTCATCCAAAAGGCAAGTAATTGCTGTCTCTGAAACTGCAAACCATAACATGAGAAAGCAAAGGTGTATTTCAGGTTTTTAAAACATTACTTACCGCCTTCAATATTTAATGCAAAAATTAGCTACCTATCATAATGTGTCAATGGAAATAAGATAGATAAAGTGCAGAATGAAATACAAAACTATATGTAAAAACCTTTAACCATTCCTCACCTGATCTTCTTCTCCACCACCTTCTTCATCGTATTTCAGAATGTTGTCCCTCACATCATCTTCTGGATCAATCAAGAGCTGCTTTGCCTGACGCTCTTTATCACGGCGTTTCATCCACACCACGAACATTAAAACTAAAACTACATGGCAAAAAGGGAAGACACAAAATCACATCTTAATTATGATGCACATCCATGGAAAACTATACAAATTTAACACCAAGATCTAAAACAAGAAAAAAAAAAAATTGGCTTTGAATGTTCTGGATAATGTTGGTTTGTTTTTTTTTTTTAAATGAAAAATGTTACAGAAGGCAGCTTAAGCCAGAGATGTTTACACTCAGGCTACTACAGGCAATTTGATTTGGAAATCAATCACATTTTGCGGCCATAAGTCACAAATCCATTCCACATCTGCAAAATAAACTTGTCATGAAAAGAAATAAGAAAGACCAAGCTTCATAAAACACTGGAGTGGACAAAGGAGAGACTTCAGCACCATTTCTTCTCTCATTGTACGCTGTTAAAACAATGCTTAAAAGTTCTGATTTGCAGCACAACCTCTCCCAACACTACTCTAGCACCATCCATGACTTTCCAATGAACAGTATATACTCTGAGAAGCTTACTGACTCTGTCCTGAAGGCTGTGTGGACAAAAATTAAAAACCAAAATCACATGAAAATTGCTGAACAGATCCTCCAGAGAATTGTGGGTGAACAAGAGCTGAGAATATGTGAACTGGAAAATTAGTTCTCACAGGACTGAGTTTTCTTGACATTTTTAAGCTTATAACTCTTCTATGCAATAACAGATGCGCAGACTACATGCAATTTCTTGTACTCAAACTCTCTGTGTACAAACAATTGGAATACATACAGACTCAAAGGGCTGTCTTCAGTTTATTTAGTAACATAAGCAATTTTGCAAAACTGCATAAGCTGACATTTCCTTTGCAAATTGCTTAAAAAAGGAGTTATGCAGAAAAGCCAGGAAGTACAAACAGAACTTGGGGAAATGCAGGAAGCATGGAAATTACTAAGGGGAACACAAATTTCAGACAAACAAACAAATGAGCAGAAGGAAGCTATAAATGTCTGTACCAGTGAAGGGAGACACTTTTCAGGTAAATCAAGTCCCAAATGACTGTGACTGGGGATGTGTGGAAGAATTACACTTAATTTTTCAAGGCTTTTTACTGGAAAATTTCTTAGAATCTATTATACGCGCTGTTCCATTTGTAATTATTACACTTACTTCTACCACTAATAATGTGCATAAATCTATTGTTTGCCACGTTCATAAAGCACTTAATAAACCTCATCTGAAGGAAGGAAATAGCACTGCTTGGAAATTCACTAACTTGGAGAGAGAGGGAAAAAGAAGCTATTCTTAGCATATATACACATCACTCCTAATCCTCTGACTTATCAGCAGTGGTTCAACCAGAGGTGATGTGAGAGTAAATGCATATGGCACCTGCCTGGAAAGGTATTTGAATAAACACAGATGTGCCCTGACAGCTACTTGAAACATAAATACTTTCCAAGCTGAAATCCCAGTGGAGGCCGATCTGTCAATAGCCAACATTACTGTACATCTAGGGAGGCATTCACCCACCACTGAAATGGTCATATTTGGAATAGACTACATTAAGCACTCTGCACTGGTGATTCTGTGCAACAGGGTCTCAGACAAGGAGTGAAGAATGTTTACAGACTGCAATGAAAATGGATGTTAATTTTCATTTAAACATAACAGCCTTAGATGCAATATGGTCAGAATGCTGTGAATGTCAGTGGACAAGACACTGGTTTTACATCTCATCCAAAAGGCAAGTAATTGCTGTCTCTGAAACTGCAAACCATAACATGAGAAAGCAAAGGTGTATTTCAGGTTTTTAAAACATTACTTACCGCCTTCAATATTTAATGCAAAAATTAGCTACCTATCATAATGTGTCAATGGAAATAAGATAGATAAAGTGCAGAATGAAATACAAAACTATATGTAAAAACCTTTAACCATTCCTCACCTGATCTTCTTCTCCACCACCTTCGCCTTCAATATTTAATGCAAAAATTAGCTACCTATCATAATGTGTCAATGGAAACAAGATAGAGTGCAGAATGAAATACAAAACTGTATGTAAAAACCTTTAGCCAGTCCTCACCTGATCTTCTTCTCCACCACCTTCTTCATCGTATTTCAGAATGTTGTCCCTCACATCATCTTCTGGATCAATCAAGAGCTGCTTTGCCTGACGCTCTTTATCACGGCGTTTCATCCACACCACGAACATTAAAACTAAAACTACATGGCAAAAAGGGAAGACACAAAATCACATCTTAATTCTGATGCACATCCATGGAAAATTATACAAATTTAACACCAAGATCTAAAACAAGAAAAAAAAACAATTGGCTTTGAATGTTCTGGATAATGTTGGTTTGTTCTTTTTTTAAATGAAAAATGTTACAGAAGGCAGCTTAAGCAAGAGATGTTTACACTCAGGCTACTACAGGCAATTTGATTTGGAAATCAATCACATTTTGCGGCCATAAGTCACAAATCCATTCCACATCTGCAAAATAAACTTGTCATGAAAAGAAATAAGAAAGACCAAGCTTCATAAAACACTGGATTCAGAAGGGAATCTCTCCAGTAGTGGCAAGAATTCTAAAAAATTGTATTATTTATATTTTTTTCTGCTACATTCCAAGAATATATATTTATTTATATAGTTGAAGTAATTCTGATATTTGAGTATCACCAAGCTTAGGCTGATTTGGCATACAGCTCAGCAGTCCGTGAGAACAGACCATATTGTTGCTAGTGTTTCGATTTATTTTTAGAAGCAAGAGGAATCAAGGTTAAGCAAAACGCAGTAGCATTTAGGGCTATATATTTTTAAACTTTAATCTCAACAAATTCAAGTTATACTGTTAAACTGTTTGTTTACAAGCTAAAGGTGTGACAGAAAACCAAATGAGAAACAAAACAGAATAAATGTGAGAAAATGAATCTCTAATACAATAGGCATGTTTCCAATTACAACCATCCTCATGGAAAGAAATTCCAAAGTACCTAGAACCACACAACAGTTTGGGTTGGAAGGGACCTTAAACCACCATTCTGCCAGGGGCAGGGACACCTCCCAATAGAGCAGGTTGCTCAAAGCCCCATCCAGCCTGGTCTTCAACACTTCCAGGGATGGGGCATCCACAGCTTCTCTGGGCAACCTGTTTCAGTGTCTCACCACCCTCACAGTAAAGAATTTCTTCCTGATATCTAATCTAAATCTACCCTCTTGTAGTTTAAAACTGCTACACCTAGTCCCTCTCCATCTCTCCTGTACGTCCCCCTCGAGTACTGGAAGGCTGTTGTAAGGTCTCCCTGGAGCCTTCTCTTCTTCAGGCTGAACACCCCAACTCTCTCAGCCTGTCTTGGCAGAATGTCAATATATGAAAAATATCTTAAAGAATTTCAGAGTTTCAATAAGGCCCTGTTAATTCAATATCTAACATTTTAAGAGTATATTGTATCAGGAAAGTAATTGTACTGCATTTGTGTACAGCCACAGGCTTAGCCAGGCTCCGCCTGTCTTGGCAGAATGTCCATATATGAAGAATATCTTAAAGGATTTCAGAGTTTCAATAAGGCTCTGTTAATTCAATACCTAACATTTTAAGAGTATATTGTATCGGGAAAGTAATTGTACTGCCTTTGTGTACAGCCACAGGCTTAGCCAGGCTCAAATACTTTTAAAACTTTACATTTTTTGAAAAACTTCTCCTTTCCATCATTTTGTATGTTCTGGACTGGTGCACAGTACTCCAAACAGGTTAATCTCTTCCTTGTGTTTCACTGCAACCAGAAATCAGTTAACCATAACGTGTAGGAGAGCTAACATCCAATTTACTATACTGGACAGACACTTAGTCATGATGTTTAGTCATTTCCCTTATTGAATGCACTTGACACAAAAACAAAATACTAGCACAGCTTTAGGTAGTGCTTAAACACAAACATCTCTGTTCTTGCATGGCTGCCTGCTTGTCAGGCCTTGTATGAAAGGCTGTGATGTATTGCTTTCCAAAATCATCAAATAGCCTACTTGGATTAATCTGAAGCAAACAGTAGTAGCACCAGAGCACGCCCTAAAGGCACTGTTACCCACGGTGGGTGGCATCAAATCACACAGTACCAGCAGCACAAGAGAGACTAGATGTCTGGGGGATAATCACATCTTCAACCTGGTCACCCACTGATGTGTCACAGCAAGTGCCCATGGGCACAGATGGAAAAATCTCCTTCGGAAACTCACTGTGGGGCTTGACTACTAGGCAAGTGCTAGTTATGATCTATCTCACAGACTTCTAATCCTTTACCATCACAAAGTTTTCACACTCGTCCAAGACACTAAACTAAGCAGCAACAATTCCTGGACTTCAGTCTTGAATCACTCCTCCGTCTTTGTGAAGGTACACGGAACTAAAACACAAGATGGCACTTACAAAACAAGAATAGAAGAGTTAGGATTAAGAGATGTATCTACTCACTGAGCAAGATGATGATACAAAGCAGAATTGCAATGATGGCACCAGTGCCCAGCCCCGCACCAACGATCCGGTCAACGTCAGTGCAGTCTCCGTTTATGTCACATTGGCAAACTTTCACTTTCAGCACAGAAGTGCTGGAGGCATGTGGATTTCCAGAATCCGTAATTACTATGGGCACATCGTAGATACCAGCCTCCAGGAACCTGATCCTTAAAGACAGCTGGGCGTGATCGCCTGTGTATGAAAACAAGGCACTTTTTAACAAATAATGTACTCCAATCAGGACAGGGTTTAAAACAGTATTAGCAAAAATGGCTCACCTCTGAGCTCTGTGTTAATTTACTGCTCAACCCACTACATCACACTCAGGATAAGAGGCTTCTTTCTTACTGTGAACATCTTTTCCTTACTAAAATTTCTTATGCTTTGGAGAACTTACATTAAAGTGGCTTCCTATCCATATTAACCAAATTCATGTATGTTGCAAAGTAACGCCGAAGTAAAACACAGAAAAGCATATGCAATAGTTGCTTTAAAATGATTTAAGATTTCTATAATGTTAATTACCGCTAATTCGAACAATGGTCCAGTTTCTCTTAATACTGGCAGGTGTGTCAGGCAGCTCGAAGGCAAAGGGGCCCGCGTTGGGATCTATGTCAGGGTCCACAGCAGTGATGTTAATGGCGTTGGGCTGCAGTGTTTCACAGGTCGTGGCTTCTTTCGGATTCACCTGGGGGGCATTATCATTGATGTCCAGCAGGTATATCTGAAGAGTGCCAGTTCCGCTCATCGGGGGAATTCCTTAAAGAAAAGAAAATGGTATTGAGCCCGTTTCCCATTGGAAAGTTACTTGAATGAAGCCATACCAACACTTTTCTATTACCACGTACGTATGTTCACCTCAGTTTTGGTATTCTGTCTTTACCAAGCCAATCTAACACTGTCACTGCTCCTGGAAACAAACAAATTCTTCAGTAGTCTGTCCTCGGGAAAAACTGCCCTGCTCAGCAGAATTCAGCAAATAACTGCAGACCCACACATCAGGGACTCACCACACATTACTCACCAGACAGCTAGTTCCTCTCCAGAGACAGCCCACAGCAAATGCTTTGAAGAAAAAGGTGAACAATTCGGATAGCTTATCCTCTGGAGAAATTAGTTTGTAACTTTTAAGACTAACCATCACCCTTTATCACAAGTGTGCTATTTAAATGCTTTCTAATACTGACTTCCAGCACACTACTTTAGACGTTCTTGCTATTCATATAGAATGTGTGATGCTTTTGTAAACCTTGCTGAAGTCACACATTTATGTGAACGTGTGGCACTGAATTTCTCAGTATAATTAGCAATGGTTCTCATTCCACCCCTACACCCCACAATCTCCCAGTTCCATTTTTTTTTTTTTCTCCAGAACAGAGTAAAAGGACAGAAGCAGCTGATCTCACCTTGTTATCCTGTATCAGTGCGCACAATTTTACCATTTGTCTTCTCTCCATGATAAACAGCCCCAGTGTTTCAGTTCTCCCTCCCCTCTAATGCGAGAATGTTCCTGGCTGCACCTCCCCATCTTTCTGGTACCAGCTATGAACGGTGCAGCACTCCAGCTGCATTCAAAGGACTCAGTTCTGAGCGGAGTCTGTTAATTGTCATTAACAAACTGACAATGGAAAGACACATTTTTCATCTTCCTCTGCACTGCTGTAGCCTGAATGTGGAAAAATACAGTATCCCTCCCTCAACCTGTTACTCCCCATAAAATCCACTCACGCTGTGCATTCACTCAGCCTATTGCACTCCTGGGCAGGTTTTTTCAGTTTTCTGTAAATTCAACTAATGTAACTAAGCCAGTGCCTTTCTCCAAAGTTACAGAACTCATTTTCAGCCCTTTTCCTGAGTAGCTGGGAGATATACAGAGTCTGACACTAACACAGACTTCCGACTGGGTGTATTCTAAGCATAACTTGTTTTCTGCCCCAGTAAAATTGAACACCATTCAACCACACAGAAGAAAGCTTTTTGAAAAAATATACAACGTTGCTACATACCATTATCAGAAGCAAGAAACGTTGCATTATACATATTGTTTTGCACATATATTGACTCTCTGTCCAAAACAGCTGTAGTAGTTATTTGTCCATTAATAGGGTCAATTTTCAGCCAGTTTGCAGGATCTGAAAGTTTTGAGTACCTGTGTATTTGATCACAAGATATGTTATTTATCTGCCAACATAAACATCGACAACAAAGAAGATATTAGTATTTTAATTGGTATTCTGAACATGTTCTTGAGATTTGGAGACAGTATTTCACAAATTTCCATTTATTAAGTCTTGACGGTAAAATTCTTAAAACCAGTCCTGCATTTAGATTCTTTAAGTGCCCAGTCACTTTGCATTGCTGGAGAATAAATGAGAAGAAAACCCTTCAGATTTGGTCAACAATCTGACGTGGTCTGCTGCCATGTCAAAACTATTGGTGAATCTAAACTGCAAATCATCTCAGTTCACACAAGCGTGTGTCTGCTCCGACTGAATTTGCTGGAATGCCGTGTACAGAGATGCATAACATCATTCCCTTGACAAAGTGGGACTTAGCATTAGAAGATGACCCAGTTTACAGATCTGTGAACGCTGATCAGGTCACCTTCTCTACAGCCAAAAATCCCTTTAGAGAAAGCTGCACAAAAGCTACAGGAGGCATTGGGACGGCCGTGTGCTCTGCTAAATGCAGTCATTTCGTAAGCAGTCCCTTAGTTCCCCACCCCCCCTCTAGAACACAGATATTGCATTCCAATTGTTAAATAACTGCAAAACGTTTATATAGACCTTAGAGAGGTTTGTTGCATGTAACGATCTGGGTCTTGAGCAGTGAAAGTCGTCAGCGTGCTACCAGCGACCAGCCCTTCTTCTTGACGTATAAGCTTAGGGTTTGGAACAAAATAGGGGCTCTCGTTCACATCAATGACCGTAATGGACACGGTTGCTGTTGACTGGGGAGGATGCTGAATCCCCTTCGCCAAAGGCACTTGATTTTCTGCAGCTACAGTAAGTATGAACATCCTGTTGGTCTCGAAGTCAATTGGCTGGGAAAAGCAAAGGAGCAGAAAGCGTTGACATTTACTCACAACAGCGAGGGACACACAATGACATTTTTACTTTAAAGCACATTTTAAAACATTACTTGTACTGCTTTTCTCAAAAACGAGCACAGAGCCTAAACAGAACACAGTCAATGTAACACCTCGACAGGAGACTGGGTTGGGGTTTTGTTTAGCAGCAGCAGCAGTTCTGAAGTCAAACCAGCTAGAAATCTTTCTAGTTTAACTTACTCTGGTACTGTCATTAGTGGTAACTGAAGAAACAAGTAGTTTAATCAGAAAATGACATAGAAACTTCCAGATTTGTGCCAGGCACTCGTGTGAGCAGATGTGCCTCCTGGGGAGAGAAACCTGCCTCTCTCTGTTACAACGAAGGTTTCCTTCAAGCAAGACCATGACCATACCCAGCCCCATAGAGCAGGGAATCCCATGGCCTTAATGTTTCACTAGAACGACTCTTTGTAATCCTAGCTAATCCTCCTGCTGCTGTTCTTACAGCTCCTGTCTTCAGGAGCTGTAGTTTGGGTACTTCTTCACTGAGCCAGAGGTCCAATTTAAGGAGGAGTAAACCCAATTTGAGGCTAGAGCTCCTCTGCCATGTGGCACAGGGGTGAGGCAACCCCCGAGAACTGATTCACCTTATGAACTGTATAACTTGCACTGATTCTAGACTTGAAGGAGCTCTGTACCTTGCAGGGGCAGTTGGCAGGTAACAGTACGCAGTCAGTGACAAGAGACAATCCAATCTTCATTACAGGCTGACAGATCAACTAATTGCACTGCCAATAAAAACTGCAGGGAAGCTTCCAACTCTTCCCATGTCTGGGTGCTTGAAGGAATGCTACTGGCTGACTGCAGAACTGCCATTTACCACCTCAGCCTGATTTTCCTATGCTGTTTAAGAGCCTTGGATTTCAGATGGTACGGCCAGCCCCTTCTGAACAGGACCATCATTCCCTTGTATTTGTAGCAAGAAGTTCCTTTTCCAATGAGGCTCCCACAGGCTGCTACTCGGTTATTAAACCTGGTCAGATGTAGCAAAGCACTGAGACGCTCAGGCAGTAGAAGGAACAGAATTTGTTAAAAATAAATTTTTAAGTGAGCAAAGCTACATCAAACAGGTTAGAGATCTGGAATCTTAGGCTTGCTCCTCTTTATAATACTTTAGTTTAATCTGTGCATATTTTAAATTCAGTTTTCCAGATGGCTCTAGTTTGATACCATTCCTAGATCTGAAAAAGATGCTTATGTGCCTAATTGCAAAGCACAGACATAATTCTTGCCGGAAGACTGCAATATAACAATTGGTACCTCTGGGGAAGTGCAGTTATAAAACAGAGACAGTTCTTAAAAAAAACCTAGTGTGAATTACCACGATAGCTGTACAAAAATTGTATATTTTTCTCACCTCAGATGATTAAAAAAAAAAAAAAAAAAAAAAAAAGAGAAGGGCGGGGGAGAGCAAATGTTTTAATTTCTAAATGGGAACACTGGCATCTCACACTTGACTTCGTAAGTGGATCAGCCAAAACCAGACAGGCCAACTCAGAGATGAGACACTTAGCAGAGGGCTGTGAGGAAAGGTGACTACTGCCTGGCAGGTTTAATTATAGAATCACATTGTTATTATCACTTGAAATAAGTCACCCCTCAACACAGAGCTGTGTTGGCTAGAGAATGAAGATAGACAGGTTATTCCTTAAAAGGTATTTAAGTGAGGTTTTAAAAATAGCCAGTCTTTAAAAGCCTCTTGTAGAAGTAGCCTCCCACCTATCACTTTTTCCTCTCTGATTGTGCCTTGACTGCCTATATCTGTTCGTTTAATGGGAACATGTTGACATAAAACCCACAGATAACAAGTGTGACTACTAATGGAGGCCAGGAGGTAGGAAGCTGCTCCTCTACATTTGCAACAAATACTAACCAAATTCCTTTTTTCACAGACTAATTCATATCTTTTGGCAAACAGAGATTCAAAATCTGTCATTTTCAACAACCTCATCTTATTTTTTAAAACTGATCAGTTGGAATACTACTGATAGGATAAGCAAGCAAATGCTCCAAGAGATGGACGGCTAACTTCTACGAGACAGACAGCGCCCATCCATTTTACTTTCCAGCCTTGTGCTGGCCACAGGAGTTCACATTCCCCCCCCACCTCCAGTGTTCTCCCACTTCTTCCATCTCTGCTTAGTTCCCTGAAGCGCAAGCATCTCTTACCTTCAGAACCGTCACCAGCCCATCGTTGCTGTTGGGATCGGTCAGGATGGTGAATCGACCTGTGGGGTCTCCTCCGGTCATTCGGTACACGGCGTTCCACGCAGGCGTGTGGGGCTGATCTTTATCCGTTACCGTCAGATTCGCTACGATCACATCCACCCTGTTTTCCGGCACCTCCCCGTAGAACTGCAAAAAACCAAGGAAACGTTTTACCCTGGCTGCAGAAGCACACAAGAGCCACACCAGACTGAACATTCATCAACGTTAGGGAGCGCATCTCCCTTCACCAGAGCTCTGACAATTTAGCTAACGAAGTTTACCTGAGGCCAGCCAGAAAACTGATGGTTTGATTACCTTGTCAGCTTTTGCCTTTTGGCCTAAGCAGAGTAGCGTATTTAAGGGATATATAATCTGGACATACTTCAATTCTGCCTGTCAGTACACTATTTAGTAAGTAATAAATATTTGCTGTCTGTGAATATAATGGGAGAAGCGGGGAATGGTTATAAATATGCACATCCTTTAGTTACTCCCACCCTGTACTTACAGTCATGGCAGTGAACTCTGGAGGATTGTCATTGACATCTGTCACGGTGATGACAGCAGTTGCTGTGTTTGAAAGACCATATGTTGGGTTTCCTTCCATGTCCGTAGCTTGAATTATTAATGTATATTGTTGGACTTTCTAAAACACAAAATGACATCAACATAAGTTTTAGACAAAATTAACGTTAGCTTAGGACAGCAGGTGTTTCCAAAATCGCACCTCGCTAAGCAATGGAGCCTATCACTCTGTTTATTCTAGTTAGCATCACCCAAAATGACAGGAGCAAAGTTTGCACCCCTGGAACGCAGCTCCAGGTTGCACCTTGCTGTATTGAACTACTGGTTGGTTTTCTTCACGTATCACCGAGATAAAAACAGACTGCCTGCTCCCTACTCTCAAAAACTAAAAACCACTTTATGTGGTTAATGCTGCTCTCACAGATTTAAAAATGCTCCTCCAATGGGGAAAAGCGCAAAGTGCAGTTTATGCTAAAACAGGCTAAGTCCTCAAAAGCACTGAAGAGAACCCAGCCAAGGCAGGTCTGGTGGCCAAACGGCCACAACTGCCAAGGTTTTGTTTCAGCCGAGCCCAAGTATAAAACTGCTGTTGCAACTTCTTGCCATCGCTATGGAAACCGAAGATGTCAAGGCTAAGGGAGACGAGCGAGGGCACCGGCAGAAAGGGGGAGGGAGGGAGCAACCGCACGGGCTGTTTCCATAAATGTTAAACACCCCGGCCGAAGATGGCCGTCTCCTCCTCCTCCTCCTCCTCCTCCTCCCTGTGTGCCAGCAGTAGCAGCTCCGCTCTCCCAGCAGGGCTGGATGGGGGCCAGGGCTCCCCCCAGCACAAGGAACACCCAACTGAAGAGATCTGACCACAAAACTGGCTCCCTGTTTAAAACAAAGTTGACGAGATTGTATTAAGAAAAAAAACCAACACAACGGAACAAAACAACAAACCACCAACTAGAAAGATATTTTTTGCGTGGAGCTGCTGAGAAGTTGATTTTAACTCGTCGACGGTTTCTACCGTGAAATGCAAATATTGTGCATGCTTTTTTCATTTACCAGTTCAGTTTCAAGTTTGGCATTTCCCAGCTCGGAGATAGCTAGGTGTTAGCATTCGGTTCTTTCCAAAAGAAAAAGCACAAACATAAGAAGCTGCTATTACTTTGAAATATCACTTTCATGAATGGTTTACTAACACTGGCAAAAAACCTGCTGGCAAAATATGAAAATACTTAAAGGAAAGCACAGTTTTTTCCACTCGGTACCTTATCTTCTCCCACTACTTAACGACTGGGGTGCATGACAGATGACTTCTCATGGAAACTGTTTACAAAAAAGGACTATGGATCTCCATACAAAAAATAGGCAAGGACAATTCCACTGATAATGTCTAACTGTCTTCCAAATTTTGGCCAGACACTACGACAGATACTAGAGATTTAAAGGTTACGCACACTCCAAGCAGCAAATATGAGCCGCTGAATAAAATAAGTTTTTAAAATAAGCTGTATGAAACTTTATCTCCCATTGAAGACAATTTATGCTCATGTCCTTTCACAAAGGAACGCTTACAACACACTTCAAATGTGTATTACTGCATATGCACCCCACCGTTCTTTAAAAAAGCAAGACTAATATTATTTATACAGAAATGCAATATATATGGTTAATAATATGTATGTATATACGAATGCTGGCTTGGAAAATGTACTTGCAAAGTGACCTTCAAAAGGCTTCAATAAACATCCAAAGGTTTACTCCACAACACCAACAAGAGAAGCAGTCACAAGGGAATCAAAGAATTACTTTTACCACTTTCATCCAGGAAAAAAAAAAATTATATACTTTACTTATTGTGAAGCAATAAAACCTAGAGCAGTATTGAAGCAAATCTTGCAGCCAGATGACTCTACGTTATTGAAACAGCAGGTGCTTCTGATTCATCTGGGTCTTAACACATTGATCCCAAGAAGCAAATTTCATTAAGGAAACTCCATTATTATTACACGGAGACTCCACTTCCGTACAATCTTCTTATTTATTTCCAAGAGAAGCAGCACACTAGAAACTGCCCCCAGAAGTGCCCCAAAACACAGCGTGTATGTGGTTTTGTTTGTTTCCGCTCCCCCGCTACCAGCACTCACATACACAAGATCAACTGGTGGGAATGAAATTTCAGAAATCAGCAAGGGCACAACTTTCCAAGCATGGGGGGAAAGTGGGGGAGATGTCTCCTCTTTTAAGTGCGGGTTGAGAAGGAGCCAGGAATGAGCCGTGGCGCGTGTGTCAGCAGCCTGCACGGAGACTTCGCAGCAACACACCCGAAAACGAACTGGCAGCTTCAAGAGAGAACGCAGACCTCATCGGGTCACATCTTTCCACTTCAACACAGGCCAAATAAAAGAGCACTTCACTGAATTAACCTCACGTGAGGCAGGAATGTCTGTGTGTAAATTTAAAGTACCCTGCCTGCCTTCTTCGGCACCTCCAGCGGTACGGCAGATGTTTTGATGCTGAAGTGCATTCCACAGCGACAGCGGAAGAAATAAGAACAGCTGGATCTCATGAAAGAGCATCATCTGGGACAGCAAGGCAAAGACTTCTGCCTGTAGCCCAGTCCCCTACCTAAGCAACTCTCCCCTCGTGCATGTTAGCAGAGATAATGCATTGTGCATGTCAACCTAAAATACTAGCAGATGAGGAATGCTATCCTCAGAAAGATGAACCACTTTTTTTTTTTTTCCTTTGAATGCCTACAAGACTTATGCTCCCATAAATAATGGGTCACATAATTTAAGAACTTAAAATTGCATCTAGTATTTTCTGAGCCTAATTAGAGCTTTAGAAAGAGAGTCAGGACTTGGAGAAAAGGGCAGAATGGCAGAACTGGGTAGCCCAGCTGAGGTTCCTAGACAACTTGTATAATAAGGCACTTCCCAGTCCACTGTCAGAAGACCCACTTGATTCAGATCTGGCTTTCTAGGCTCCTGGTCGTTTTAATTTAATTGACGTCCATCAAATGACTCAGGAAATGAAGGAAGCAGAGCAATGGCTTGGGAAGGAAACCATTTTATCTCATATTAGTCTATTTTAATATCTAAATGATTTAACATTAATCATTAATATTCGAAATGTGCAAGAAATGTTTATAAATACTCATTTGGGTATCGTACAGTGATCCATCAGGAAAACTGATGGCAAATCACAGGGCTTTTCCAACCATTAATGTGAGGGTCTAAGCTCCACAGACAGCTGGTTTCTTCCAAGTTAAATCACTCCAGTAGAGCTAGTCACCAAGTAATAAAACTCAGAGTTATCGCTATGTCCTTGTGAAAGTTCACCTGTCAACGATGACCAGGGGATTTTAAAAACAAGGGCAAAGCTGCCCATCATTCTTTAATTTAATAGGGCAATGCAGAAAAGTTCAGGGTTTTCCTCTGCTCAAATCCACCCTCTTCAAAACCAATTTAAAAAGAATGAATGTTAATAAAACTTTAAAACTTAATTACAATGCCTAACAGTATGTTTAGCTTTTCAAATCTTCTGATTGCCCCTTTCAAACTGAAATGCATCAGAATATTAATAGCCAACCAATAGCATCAGAAAGTACTTTTGTTCTCCTTTTTAAATAAGTATAAGCAAACAGCTAAAAAACTGAACAGCAAATCCAGCTTAAAAACCCTTCAGATTTAATGAGCTAAAGTGAGGTTAGTAAAACAGAAGTTAAAAAAACATGTTGAAATAAGATTTGCTTGGATTTCATAGTTTGTTTATAAAATAATGCTTATCTCTTCTGAAGTTTTCAAGTGGTTCAAAAGCACAGTTAGTCCATGTGCCAGATCTGGAGTTGAGAGGGAAATATTTTTATTCCCACCTCACAGATGGGTGAACCAGAGCAGAGGATCTGGCATCCTCCTTCTCTGGTGGTGGGCACAGTGAAGAACCATCTAGACAGAATGGGACTTGCCCAGCATGTAGCAGGGAATTACTGACAGAGATTTTTTATTTTTTTTTAAAGTTTTTAAATGTATGTCAAGGCCTTGAGAGAAGTCTCTATCTATGCAGTTTCTAATACTGACTGGTTTATTTGTTTGAAATGTGCCTTTCCAATTTTAAAATCAGTGATATTTTTCCTGGTTTATTTTAATACGCAAAATTCAGATGAGGGAATTACTGCAATTTTAGCAACACAGCATCCAGAAGATTTCAAATATTTACCACCTCTCTGCCAAGAGCAAGGAAGAGGACAGAGGGAGGACAGAAGCTCTTCTGGAGCTTCCAAAATAAATAAAACAGAGTCAATTTCATTTTCCATCTACTGTCTGCCCGTGGAGCTCAGCAAGAGGAAAGGGTTGGAGCTGAGAAACACCTCCCATCTCAGCACCCAGCCTGAGCACCTGAGGTCCTTATCTGCATCGCTCTGTGCGTACCTTTTCCTTAGGAGCAAACAGGCTTTTGAGGCAAGATACTTTCCACAACCCCATAGAACCGAGAGTAACATATAGAGAACATGTGGGTTCAATTCTTTTCCAGGGAGAAAGTTCAGACCAGGGAGGGAGAGAAGTATTTATAACTTAGTAGCAAAAAAACGTGCTTTTCCACAGAATTAAGCACGACACAGGCTATGGGATTAAGACCTGCCGTACCTCTCTGTCAAGCCCAGCTGCTACGGTGATAATGTCACCAGTCTCGTTGTTGATTGTAAACATGTTTGGAGAGGGGCTGCTCGGGGCCTGTGACAAGATTCTGTATCTCAGCATCCCATTCTGTGCATTGGGATCATCAGCATCGATGGCAGTAACCGTCATCACGTAGGTTCCTAGCAGCAAGATAAATAATTGATGCTATATAAACAGTTTACTCAGATTACACAAGCTCACTTACAAGCAATGGTCAAAGCACGTATTTCTTTTGGTAAACTCTGCACATTCCTTCTGTTACTTAAAACAAACTGGTTAAACCCAAGACTCACCAACAGAGTAATTAAAATACATAAGAGGAGATAAAAATACTCTGTGTTTATAAAATACCAGATTTGCTTAGAACTGAAGAAGCTCCATAAACAATGAAATCCCACAATTCTGCCACAAATAACATTTTTGTAACAACAGAGCTCGTCACGTTTAAATAAAAATGTTATTAATTGAGCCAAAGGAAATATACTTAATTTTCAGAATTGCTGCACATACTGATAGTGATTGAAAATCAAGGTAAACAATACTCTTTTAAAGGTCTTTGAGATGCATGTTCTTTCCATCTCAAATGCCAAGTCAACACTGCAAAGTGAGAAAATACATCTCTTGTGCTAACCTTTCTAAAAAAAATCATTTTGCACTACTGACAAATTAAGGAAGTGGCTTCAGCCATAGTGCAAACTTTAGTCTGAGCCGATTAGAATTTTAATGAGATGCGAACAACATTTAAGTTTTTCTCGAGAATTCAAATGAAACTGTTTGATTTCAAATCCCAGTATTTCCAAAGCCTCTGAGATTCAGAACTAGAACTGGATCTGCTGGTATTTCAGAAGTCTCTTATACCCCGAGCTGTCAACTAAATGAACGTCAATGGCTATCATGAATATAACTGCAAGAACTGTGACACTATAAATAGGATTTTCCAAAACAGGAACCTAACAGTCATATTCTTAAAGACTGCTGTTTTACTTTAAGTACATACTACTTTCTTCTTTTAGAAATGAATCCTAGCGAGTTAAAAATAAGGTGAAATAATAAGACAGCATCTGAGATTTTGCTCATCACACTAATAAGACACCTTTGAAAGTGTCACAAGGTCTGAAGGCACTCCATCACCTTCACTATGTTACTGCACAGACTTTGAAAGCCCGTGTATTACCTGGCTTTGATCCTTCGGGGACTGTCCCATTCCAAACCTGGTGTAAGAATTCGGGTCTATTGTCATTCATATCAATGACATTAATAACAATATCAATAGGATTTTCCACCTGGTTTCCGTTTACATCCACTGCATGCGCTCTCAGCTGCAAAAATCAAGAAAAGTATTAGAATTTGCACAACATGCAGGCACAAATAGATACAATAATGTTGGGAAGAAGTTACAAGCCAGCCATTTTTAACTCCATGTATTTTGTTGTGTTCCACTGCTCCCTCATATCGACCATTTGAGTTTTCAGGTTGCTCATGGAACTATTGTCCAGACTTCTAAGCTACTCTAAGCTGCAGATTTACTACTTTGATTTGCTGAAAATTATTTTGAATCACGTAATTTCGATTAACACTAATGTCTACTGTCATATAGAAATCTGTTTTTAATAATGACTTAGAAAACAGACTCTAGAAATATGCAGATTAATATCAAACAGATAGCAACTTCCTAATAATCCACAGAGCATGAACACCGGCATCACTTTCAAAAACCATTTACTTATACTATGGATATTGCATAGACATGAATGCATAGGTAAAGCATATAGAACAGATTTGTGTTACCTGCAACACCAAGGTAAAATTTGTGATAAATCACTGTCAGTAAACACACTGAAATTCCAGGCTAAAATTAAGCTAAAGTTTATAGCGTGAGTTTCAAAGATACTGAGACACCTAGATTTAATGCCCTGATTGTCAAAAAGGACTGAGTAACTACCTCTGACAGCCAGGTTTACCTAAATTGGACAGCCAAAAAAAAGAAACATAGTACTTTCTGAAAATTTAAACCTATGTATTCAGGCCAGACAATTGCTAGGCAAAAGAGCAGCTTTCTCCTGTTGTTAATCCTGCTGATGCCCGATTTCTTTTTATTTTTATATATAAATATATGTGTGTGTGTGTATCTGTGTACACACACAGTACATGTATCTTTGGGCTACAAAAATTCTAGAAAGGAGCAGGAGGGCGTTATTAACTCACCACCCTAGAAATTCCGCATAAATTTTAAATTCCTAAGGCAGTAAAACTTGAATTGCCAATGCCAAATTCTCAGCAAAAAAAAACCTCATAGATGTCAGAGCTGTTGTGCTCTTGTGAGAGGCATTGCCCCCTGCCTCCCCCCAGATGCCTCCTGCTGCCTCCTCTGTTCGGAGCAGCACTCAAAGGGCTTCCTGGAGCGCGAGTGTTTTAATCCATGACACGCTGGAAACTCTCTCTAGGAGCTGAGCAGCTTCCGTAACGATTTCAGTGTGGTGTCTCAACAGCAGAGACAACTTTAGGTCACAGCCTGGTCTCTCCCTTTCCTTCAAACCTTTCTTTTCCACTAATACTGGAATCCGTGGTATACTTTGTCAATTTCTTTAGAGCAAAGAATATCATTTTCATAAGCTGACAGACCTAATTTACAATTCCATTAAAATGCTTAGATTTGCCCCTGAAAATGAAAATTGGTAGGTTATTCTTCCCATCCATTTCTCAAATCACAGCTGCTGCGATTCTAATTGCAGTCACGTCCTAATTTAAGTTGCTGAATTAAAAGTAAACTTTTGAAAAATATACAATACAGTGGAGACTATGATCAATGGTCTGTATTTGAATTATAAGCTACAGTATCCATATTTCAATCTTTTAAAATTACTTTATCTAAATACATTTAATCACTGTTTACATATATTAATGTATTTAAGCTGCTTAATCATAGTAAGAGTTAGCCTTAGTAAGTACAATAAATACAAATCTGCTAGAAACTCTTCAAAATCATATCTCATAGAAAACTAAATGCCGGCTGCTCAAGTCATGTTTGAAGCAGATGTTAATCTTCAATTTGATAATCTGATTTATGGTAAATTAAACTCTTACATGAAAAGAAGCAATCTGCTCCCGGTCTAAAGGCTTTGTCACAGACAGCTGTCCTGAGATGGGGTTGATGATGAAGATGCCTGTTGGAGGTTGGTCAGCTCCTGGGCCAGTCACACTGTACCGCAGCGAGAGGCTTTTATCACGATCAGACCTAATCTACGGGTCAAAAAAGATAGCATTTACATTAGCTACAAACAACCAGTGGATGGGACTGCTGCTGAGACAAACAGCAGCTCTTTTTCTCCTTTTTTCTTTTTTTTTCTTCCCCCCCCAGCCCCCTTAAGCTAAACTTGTGAAAATAATTACTCTGGAAATGGCATAAAGTTTGAGATTTTCAGCTGAGCTCTTTGTTTGTCAGAAAGCTGGTCAATGAATTTTCAGAAACATAAAACCATCCCTGCTTATTTCTTGTAATAGGATAAATTGTATTAAACCAAAACAAATAAGTGTTCTTACTTTGAACAGAATCATTTAGATCCTAGAGAAAACATATACTATCATGAAACTACGTAAGAAATCAAGTCTGGTGTTTCCTCCCTGTCCCTTTCTACGTCTTCCCGGATGAAAGCTGTAGATTCTTCTCTGCTACTGGCAGCCACCAGCACTGCACATCAACAAAGCAGAGCAGAACTATATCCCATCAACTTGGGCTACTCTTGGAACTCTAGCAAGTTCCAACAAATCCTCATAGAAGTTGATCAGGACCAGCCACTACTGTGGTTGGAAGCCCTCTCCTGAGTGGGGCTCCTGGCAATGGCCACATCTGTGCTGCAGAATGCTATGGAACAATTAGTGTCCTCACCCCTCAAATCCTGTTTCCTCCTGCCTCCTGGGTGCATTCCTCCTCCCGCTCACCCCCACACCCTTCCCCAGGTGGAAAACTCCAGTGCAGAAGACTAGAGAACTCCTGAACTGGCAGAGATCATCATTAAACACTTAAGGAAGTTATCGCAGGACTTACCACCCAAACCAAGGACACCTTCCACCAGTACAGGAGCATAGGGACAACTTTAAAAAAAAATAGTAAATGCAGCCCAGCCCAATATGAACAGAGGCAGCAACATAAACAATCCCCAAAGACTCTGATAAAAGTTTGGACTATGAACAGACATCATTCACATGAAACCTCTTCAAGAGCTCTCCGAGGGACACTGAAACCACATTTCTATTAACTTTCTTACCCTAACTAATTCCTGAGGAAAAGGTCCTCTGGAATTTTCTGGTAGGTTGATTGGAGGAATAACCCAGTCTCTCTTCTGTCTCTTAAGAGGGCTGCTGTGCTTGTATTGTTGCCATGGAAATACGATGTCTTCAATTTTCTTTTGGTCCGTTCCCAGGTACAAGATAAAATTAAGCACATGTTAGAACGAGAATTACTAGTAGACATTATAAAACAACTCAGATACAATTACATAATTGACTGATAGGCTGTATTTCCTGTGTCCACAGAACTGTTTTATTTGCATTCACACTGCAGTATGAAAATAACCAGTATTATTTACAACTGCGCTGCAAAATTTTAAGAACTCCTTTTCTTTTCTCCATATTCAAGTTGGAGGAGAAATGGAATTATAAACCATGTATAATGTGGCACTACTGTGTAAACTATCCTGCACTTTCTGAAAAGTAGTTAATATTTTGCAGAATTTAATAGTGTGCCTTTATGTATTTCTCATTAGCTAGAACTTCAGTTCAGGTAATGTGCTACTGTACATTAAATTTAGATCTGGGTGTGCTAAAATATAATTTGAGTTCCAACAGAAGTTTAATACATACTGGTAAGGAATGTCTCAAATATTTATGACCCTATTAAATCCCATAGAATTAATGCTGTAATTATTTTAAACCTATGTCAGCCATGATGGATGCAGTAGATGACCCACTTTACACATTGGGCATTAATCTCTGCTGGGTGTCAACATTCCCTTCCTTTTCCCTTCTGTATCTGCACTCATTTCAGCCTTTGGACGCCAGCACACACATAGCCATGCCAGCTTGCTTAAGGGTGGAGACATGGCGACAAAATCTTTTTCCAAATCTTTTAAGAGACAAACTTCTCTAAAAAAACCCTAATCAAAGAGTAAAAACAGATGCCCAACTGAAGGCCAGATTCCACTACTCTACATTTTGCTGACGCAAGGATGCCTGAACTGGATCTTTGGAAAGAACAGGGCATGCCGTGGCATACCTAAGCATTTGCTCTTTCACTGCTTTTACAGACAAAATTACAACATTAACTTTGTTAAAATCATGCCGCAGAAGATTTAAAATTATCATCAAGTAAGCAAACAAAAAACTGAGGATTACACAGCTTTGGTCTCCAGTGTGTTCTTGGGAAAAATGTCTTGCATAACCCCACTGTCTATTTTGACATTATGCTTAAATCTTTAACGCGTGCCTATTACAGGTATGTTCATCTATGAATAAATTTTCTTTACTTGTAAACTAAGCACTTTACAAAAGAAGGTAAGAAACAGCAGGCAGCAAGTAATATAACAGAAGAAGGTAGTAGACCTAATACTGTTTTCCTAACTTAAATGCATTGTTATTTGCATATCGCTAGGCTTGATTTTTGTACATTTTTAGTAGATGGCTTATCCTATGGCAGCTTCCAGCAGAGGGAGACTATCTTCCTTACCAAGTAGTGCTGGAGTCATGAATAATTTACAATCTACAATTTGATTATGAAGGGACAAGACAAAGCCAATATTCCCTGCCAGAAATGCTTTCCTACTACTGCTGTAAATCTACAGCTCCCATCTAATAAACGTGACTGATGCATTCAAGCACAAATTTGTTTATTTTGTGGCTATATTTACCCGCTTGGATAAAAACTGTAATACTTTCAAGCAATTTAAAATAAAGAAATGACCATGTCCAACTTAAATTCAGGTATAAATCTCAAACTATACAAACAAAAAGCTCAAACATAAATTAATCCTATATCTTTAAACATGCATGCCTTTCCATGCCTTAGGAAAGCTACAGAATAACAGGCTACAAAAAAGTTCTTCCTGAGGCTCAAGCTTTGCATGCACTAGTTCTCCATTAATAAAACGCCTCATGGAGAGGTACATGACAGACAGGATTAAATCCCTATTTTAAAGCCTCTTTGTGGAGATACGTTACTACAGGCAGCATTTAGTTTTTGTTTTACCTTTTCCGAAGCCCCTGCAAAGGCTGGTTCAGGGGTTAGCTTCACTTTCATTTGCCATTCTTCTTGGGTTTCCTTGTCTTGAGCAGACACGACAAACTCTGTGGGCTCTGCTGAAAGTTGAAAGCTTCTCTCTGCATAGACCACACCATCCTCGCCTACTCTGAAATCTTCTGGCTCACTGCTTCCAAAGTGTATTTTTTTGTTTCCATCACAGCTTCGAAACCTCACTGTAAAACAGACACACAAAATGAAGAACAAAAAAAATGAAAAAGCAGCCCACTTGAACTCAGTGTGACATAAAATGCATTAAGAACAAATATTCAGTAGCTGAAAGACTTAACTTGTTGCTGCTATTATCACATGCAATTATGAGATAAGACTTGTACTTCGGGGGTCAGTCCACTTAACAGCGAAATCCTTCTGTGGACTGCTAGGCAGAGGGAAGATTTGAAGCCCAGATACACTGCTCTCCCAAATACACACACACACACACACCCCAAAGAACACCATTTCCCTCCCTGTCCTGCTCTATGTTTCAATCAATTTCCAGCTGCAGGGATTTGCACCTCAAGTCTCACAAAAAAAGATCCAGTCAAGTCAATTCATCAAAAACACTCAACAAATTTAATTACGCTGCAATCATAATTGCAAACACAACCGTGCTTCCAGCACTTTCTCTGCCAAGAGGAGTAAGGCAGAAACCCAGAAGCCCGTTAAGAGATTAACTTCTGTGCCCAGCTCAGCCTGTGATCCAGCTGTATCACCTCAGGGAGGTCACTTATAAGTTTGGGGCCTGAGTTTCCTCATCCTGCATCTACAAGATGGAGGCAGCAGTAAACACCTTACAGAGAAAATCTAAGTGAAACATTATTTTTATTTTTTAAGCTATTTCATGTACCACACCTGTCCATTAAGGGTTACCCGTTCTTGTTCAGTTCCCCCACACTTTCCTTTTGTCCTGTCTAAAAGACTCACATTGGAATAAGAAGTGAGTAAAACTGATTGTATAGATAAGGATGTGAAGTGCACAACAGAGATCATAACAGGTTTGTGCTTTCTTTACCCAATTGCTTTCACTACCACTTATCTTCTGGGTTACTGCAAATAATAGTAGGTAAAAAATGAAAGTGTGCTTTTATAACCAATGATCGTTCTTTAATGTTTCCAAAGCATTATGAAATATTTTGATTGTATGGGCAATAGAAGTGCAAAACATCGTTATGAAGGTTGTGCTGAAATGCACATAGTCAAGATGAAGATGAAATGAGGCTTTATGCCTCATTTCAGTTATTGGGCTTTTTATATTGTGCTAAACCATGCACAAACTATTTAGCTTCAAAACGTAAAGGTCCCTCTCAAGAAAAATCACTACTAAATGCCATGCATCATATGTTTTTTTTCTGTCATGCACTATTTTCAGGAAGGTACTGAGAAGAAGAATCATACCTTTTTCGTATTTGAACTTCAAGGACCGAGATGATGTTCAGTTGACACATAAAATTTGTTTCCTCACTGCACCCTTTCAGTTATTCAGAATACCCCCTTTGCCCTCTCCTGACAGAAAAGACTGTACAAAATACTTCTTTGAAAGGGTTCATCGTGCACAAGAATGAGACAAAGGACAGCACTCTTCAAAATAAACAGTAAAACGTCAACCTTCTTAATACTGATCTTGCTGGGCTGGGCACTGCTCTTTCCAGATGGCCTGCAGAGCTTGAAGGTCTGCCTCCGTGAAACACCAGCCTCACCTCAGGGAGAAGAGCATCCCACGTCCCACAAAACACCAAGCCCAGCAAGAATAAACCTGCCTGGGTAAAAAGCTGAAGCCTCAGATTTTGGGCTCCTCCTGTGGCCCTCCTTGTAGATGTTGCCTTAGGTCTTCCTCATTAGCAGTGAGAGTGCTTCAGTGAAATGCTAATTAAATACTCAGTCCCTTGTGATGGCTGCTCATGGCTTAGATGGGCATATGCTTTGCTGGGTAAAAATCTGGCTGGATGACCAGACCCAGAGAGTGGTGGTGAATGGAGCTGCATCCAGCTGGAGGCCAGTCACAAGTGGCGTTCCCCAGGGCTGGAGTATTGGGGCCAGGTCTGTTTAGTATCTTTACCAATGATCTGGACGAGGGGATCGAGAGAACCCTCAATAAGTTTGCAGACCACACCAAGATAGGTGGGAGTGTTGATCTGCTGGAGGGTAGAAAGGCTTTGCAGAGGGATCCGCACAGGTTGGATCGCTGGGCCGAGGCCAATGGTATGAGGTTCAACAAGGCCAACTGCCAGGTCCTGCACGTGGGTCGCAACAACCCCATGCGGTCCTACAGGCTTGGGGCAGAGTGGCTGGAGAGCTGCCCGGTGGAAAAGGGTTGTTGGTCGACAGCAGGCTGAATATGAGCCAGCAGTGTGCCCAGGTGGCCAACAGCATTCTAGCCTGTATCAGGAACAGCGTGGCCAGAAGGACAAGGGAAGTGATTGTACCTCTGTGCTCAGCCCACCTCGAGGACTGTGTTCAGTTTTGGACATCTCACTACAAGAAAAGCATTGAGATTCTGGAGCGAGTCCAGAGAAGAGCAACAAAGCTGGTGAGGGGTCTGGAGCACAAGTCTTATGTGGGAACGGCTGAGGGAACTGGGATTATTTAGCCTGGAGAAGAGGAGGCTGAGGGAAGACCTTATCACAACTAGTAGAACTAAAGTACAACTGAAACTACCTTTCCTATGGATCTACAGATTTACAGGTCTGCAAGATTTGGAGAAAGTGAGGAAAGAGGAAAGAGGAAAGAACCTCTGCTTTGCTGTTCACATAGGAGGAGAAAGTGACAGGTAGAAGCTTCAGCTCCCAGATATTGACCAACCCCTTGATCTCCCAGTCTTTTCAACACTGAGCCTTGAGGCTTGAGCCAGCTTACCACGATGGTATGCTGAAACGCAACAGCCAGCTGAGAAAATGTGTGGTTCTAAGCCAAGGATATAAAACTACCAGTGAAAACACCCATACCAGTATCCAGAAATAATTACCACAGTCCTAATTCTGTAATTCTGATTAGCCAGCCTTCAGAGCTGGATATTCTGTACGATTTAGCACAAAAATAAAGAGGTGTCTAAGAAGAGTTTACTCAAAAGTCACTCCATCTAATGATTTAAGAACTTCATGACTGGACTACTGAACAGTGCTGCTCGTACTTCAGAGGCACAGACCACCCACACCCCAGGCACGGAGAAAGCTGGACCTCCTCCAAGTGTCATCTCTGTTCACAAACAAAATTCTCAATTAGAAACAGTTCACGTTAAGAGACAACAGAAAAAAACAGCCAGCAATATATCCCATAGCTCTGTGCCTCCGCTGACCTCTCATCTCAGCTACAGCTGCTCTCTAAATCTGCTCTTCAAAAGAGTGTCTTGACCGAAAGGATGAAGAGCGAGCAAGATTCACCTCTGGCTCTCCTCAGACTAACTTCTGAAAAGTAGGGAGTGGGAAAGAGAATGAATATTAATCTAATCTTTGATCATTACTGTTTTTAAAGAAGCTGAAATTATTACAGCCGTTACAATCCCAAAGACTAAGATATCACAATATTTTATAAAAACTGATTCCCCAACTATTGCACTGTAACATAACATATTCATTTTTTAGATATTCAAATTCATAAAGAAGAGGATTTCTTTCCCCCCATCTTCTTACATATAGACTCCAGTAGCCACAAAAAAAAAAAAAAAAAAAGCAAAAAAAAAAAAACTTAGGGTGCAATTGTAGTTCTCTTATGCAAAAGCTATTTTGAGTATTTCATAGCAGCTTTGGGGGGTCTCTTCTTAAACTCCACGTAGGACGCTTAAACTATTGTTTCCTTAACTGCGTGTTTATCTATATGTACAAACTTTCTAAATCAAATACAGTATTCCATTTTCTTATCTATCCAGCGATGTTGGTGTTTTTGTCCGCCACGGAAAAACACGCCTTCTCCCCGTGGGCTCCGCGCCTCGCACAGCTCCTGCGCCGCCGCCGGCTCCCGCCTCGGCGGGACACCCCGGGGGGACCCTGCCAGGAGGCTGCG